CAACGTTGCTATAGATGCAAACGTTCCACACTAGCAAGAAGAAGAAAAGAAGCCTCGAGTTAGAGTGCCAGTAGCCAAAAAAAAAAAACGCAGCTACACAGAAAGCTCGCACCAAAATATCAATAACGACAAATGATATTGTTGTGCTAAGTTTTTTGTTGTTGTTGCTTTTCTTATATTTATTTTCTAAATAAGGTCCTGTGGAAGCTTGAAGGGCACTTTTGGCGGAACTATGACAACATGACTCAAGTGTTTAGCTTGAGAAAAGGAGAAAAGACGGCTTTCAGCAGTGCAAATTTGCCCCACTTGCTTGGTTACAGTCCGCTCTTGAAGTTATTTCTATTGAATTTTTTTCTCAACACTTCTCGCGCTTGGATGATAATAAATAAAGAAAAAGATCAACTTGGTGACGTACAACAGCTTTTCTTAAAAAAGTTAAGTCAGTGGGTGTGTTTGCTGTACACCATTGTGTGGCAATTCCAAACCAAAGTAAACTAATAAGGTAAAAAATTCTAGTTTCAAGTTCAAAACTTCCAACTAGCTTTAGTGAGCTCCATCCACGGCTACTGTTTGTGAAAGTACTGGTGGCAACAAATAACAAAAGGAGCTTAATATCTAGTGAAGGCAAAAAAAAAGAGAGCAACAACAATGAATAGTGAATAAACTACGACGCTAAGGAAATTGACAACTTTTTCCAGCATTTTTGTATAGTTTGTCCAAAGTTTGCTATTTACTTTTTTATCAATGTTCTTTCGCATTTTGTACATTTTTGTTTTTATTTTTTTGCTTTAATGGCTCTTCTCTATGTCTTAAAATTTTTTGTTTCCACAATATTCGCCAATGCGGTACGTTTTCCTCATACTTTAGTTCATTGCTTGAAAATTTAGCACGATTTTTTCTTGGCTATCGCAGTTTGGTCAGTTTTACACATCTTTATTTTCATTCCCACTCTTTTTTCGTCTTCCTAACGTCTTTTGGCAATAATTCACGGCTCAAACCCCACTGTAGGAGGTTTTTATTAATTTGCTATGCATTAACTCCAAGCACGCGCACTAAAACTTTGCCTTGGATTAAGGGATACCAAATCCTGTCGCCAGTGATCCTTTTTTCTTTATTTTCATTTGCCTCACTTCATCGGCTTCCACATTTTATTGGTTGTGCATAGCAAATTTTGGTTTCTTTGCATTTTTCAATCAATAGCGATTTTGACCGCTTTCGGTTGGTTAATTTTCGGTCGACTAACTGATTTCCACATCCAAAGCTTTCAAAAGCGCACTGCATATTTGTTTACGGAAAGACTTCGAAATTTACTTTGCCCAACCTTCGCATAAAGTTTTGCGCTTTTTGTGTGCAATTATGACTTTTAACTCACTTAAGCCATTAACTAGTAAATTTTTTGGTGCAAATACTCCTCGATTTATCCTGCATTTTAATCCATTGTCTGACTATACTACGGCGCAACCACTGGGTAGGACTAACCCCTACTACTTCCAATGACTCGCACATAGCAAGCAATTTAGTCTTAATTCTGTCATATTTCACTTTAAACATTTCAGCCTTCTTCCTCCTGTGTCAAACTTCATTCACCCAGACCACACATCGATTTTATGTACCTTGTATTTGAGTTTATTTAGGCGAAACTTTTCGTCTTCGCAGCCTGAGCTTGTATTATGTCGGCCCATTGCCATCTTTTCGGCATACTGCTTTGCGGTTTTCTATGCCCTGCTTTTGCGTAACATAACCCACATCGAAACTCTTCGTGCCACAACAGCAGCGAAAGTTTCAAGAATTTTCCTTTGTTTGTCATTCTTCACTCATCACATTGTGTTTCTTCACTCTCTGCCCATATTTAATTCATTCCATCTGAGCGGTGCTCGTGTATGATTAGTCTAGTTTGGTTGTGTAAGCACCAATTAAAATGAGTTGATGACTTTAACTTCTTGGATAAATTGCACTCTGCCATATGTTCAACTTATCCTACACAAGTTTTATTAAATTGCATTTCAGCAAAAAAAAGGGCTGCAGATGTGTTTTGTACGGGCGTAAGGGGCAAGTTAATGAATGACTGTTAAAGAACGGCCGAAAATTAGTGAAAGTTTGTCCAATTTTTTCCCTAATTCAGTTCTATTGATTACAAGTTGGGGTAACATCTTGAGAATAGAGAAAATTAGAGCGGCAACTGAGAAAACAGATTGAAAAGTTGCCTTCACAAAAAGTTATATGTCATTTTGTCTGGTTAGGAACTGAAGTTATTTGTGTTGCATAACCTCTTGAAAGTTTCTGAATAGGCATAAAATTAATGTTAAATGTTAAAAGCATAGGGCAGTTCCTGGCCAAGATTCATCTCAAGTTTTATAATTATCGCCTCTGCCAACTTAAAAGCACAGATTTTAAAAAGGGATCTAAATACATATATACATATTTTCCCTTACAGTATAAACTATCTTAACAACTAATCAGCCATGCAGTTTTCTTGTAGTAAACTATAAATATAGCTAGCTTGATTTCCACCAGAAAAGCTTATACAGGGTTCATAATCTCACACCCAAAGTCCTAAAAGCATCATGGCAATATAAATAGTTATTTGGTCATGGACATGGGCTCTGTCTCCTAGAGGAATCCTATGAATTTATATGATAAGGCCGGGTAGTGGGGTTAAGCACATTCTCGCTCAATAGCTTGGGAAATCTAATGACCAAAATTCAATCAAATAACGCCGTGTGCTATAAGCGATTTTTGCCCTACAACACCTCGAGCTACTATGGATGTACGGAGCACTTAATGTCTTCAAAATTAGCCAACGCGAAAGTTCTATGTGGACCGGCCTTTAGAACCACTTCTCTAGGTCAAAAACGAGTTTATTCACATAAATATCTCTCACCTCACCTTTGAGAAATAAAAGCCAATTAAATGAAACTCTCCTTTTTGTGTCCCCTTTTGTAAAAGTATACTTCTTGTTCTCGTTTTCGTTGTTGGTGTTTCCGACAGGGTAGGAGTGTGATGTAATGTGGAACGATTTTCCGTCATCCCTTGTCAAATCTCCAAACCAAATTTGACAAGGGATGACGGAAAATCCTTCCACATTACAGTATATTTCTTGTTCTTAATCTAGGTGTTTTTAAAGTTGAAATACAAATTGCATATGATAGAGTGACAGTACCAGTTTTCCTCCATCTTACTTACATTGGTTTCAAAGGATTAATCTAAGGGATTTCCAACACAGATATATTGCAGTTAAATAAATAATTTTGTGCAAACGCTTCACTTAATACATCACAAATGTAAAAAAGATAATAAATAAAGCTGTGTTCATTTATTCCATTTATTTGCATGAAATGGATCAAAACAAAGTGGGAAGAGTGCAAGCGTTTTTTGCGAATAACACTTAAATTAATAAAAAGAATTATTATTACTGGCATTAAGACGCGTCGATTGATACCACTCTCGAATTGTTTCATCAATATTTGACCTGGTCAAGCTAAAGTGCGCTATTACCGTGATTGTAACAAATGTACGTTTCCATTATTTTTTTTGTCTTTGTTTTGTATTACCAAGCTATGAAAAAGCTTCTGTGAAGTGCAGAATGGAAACGTATTTGAACGAAAAAGCCATCAAACACATATCTATGTGAAGTAAGCAAGCCCCCCACTGCACCACTTTTTCGATAGTTCCGAACTACTTCTAAATTCGACATATAAGATCTAATTCATTCTGCACTCCTTTTTCTATAATTCCGAACCAGTTCTAACTTCGTCACCTTAGATATAGGTCTCTCTTCGATGCACTAGTTCACGGTTTCCCTGCAGGGACGATTTTTTTTTTATTTGAAATCGATTAATATTTACCCATGCTGTTGGGGCTTTGAAGTTTTCCATGCATTTTACATGGGGAAAATAAATCTTTCGTAGAATTGCTATAAAATCGTTAAAAATAAATATATTTTGATCGAATACATATACAGCTCAATGGATGTGTTTATTTTTTTGTATTCTGCTCGATTATTTCTGTGGGTATGTGGTAAAAAATTTTGAGAAATAGGGCTGCCAGATAATAGAAAATTTAAAATTATTTTAAGGCTCAGCAAAATAATTATGTGTCTCCATCATAACTAAAAGCGTTTGAAGGGTTGCCACCTTTCTAAAGAGTACAACAACGATTACTAAAATTAAAGCTAATTTAACACCAAAATATGGGTATCATATGGAAGGCTTATGCACGCCCAGCAAAGCTTTTTGAAAATACATACTTTAATTCACATACATTTTTGGATAGGCTTTCCATTTCCTATCATATTTTTTTTTAAATAATGCTACATGCAGTTAAGTAAAATATGAATTTCAAACAAAGGGTGTTAAAATAAATTTTTAACCCCGTAATATTTCTGGATAGAGTTGGCACCCATCGAAGAAATTAAAATGAGTGCGATATAGCGCCGTGCAAAAACAAATTTCACTTAACTTACATAATTACATACCTCTTCTTAGTTAAAAGACAACCCTACTTAAAATCGTGTTAGTCCAAAAGTTATGAAAGATGGCAAAACATATTTTTAGAAACTTAAATGTTTTACTGCACTGTAAATAATTTTAAATTTTCAAATGTCTGGCAACCCTTTATTTCAGCATTTTTTACCACAAATCTACAGGAAACATCGATTAGAATGCAAAAAAGAATTAAACACATCCATTGAGCTGTTCGTGCGTGATGTGGTTATGAAAACTTAAAATAACTAATTTTTGTATATAACAGATAGGATTGTCGATTATAATCGATTACCGTTTTGGACTAACTACCTATACTTCAATATTATTTTGAGGTGTATCTAAGTGAAGCGAAGTACGTTGATTAAGATGGATTTTCTGTGTATGTCACACAATATCTAAGGAAATAAATAGATAAGTAGAAATAAATGAAAACAAATTAAGTAATTTTATGAATTCTACTTAGTGCAAAATCTAGCTCATTAAAGACTTAATTTGAATAGTATTTTCTCCACTTACCATTTTCTTCTTCGATTTTTCGTCCCATTATCGACGGACTGGTACGTGCACGCGAAGAGAGCGTGCACTGGCTGTTGAGGATGCAAACCAAAGCGATGAGGAGAAGCCACAAAGGAGTAGATGCTTGACAGGACATGTTGGCGTCGTACGAAATATACTGAGCAATATTTAGAGTTGTAGTTGCCTTTGCGTTAGAGTTCAATTGCAGGACTTGATAGATTTGCTATTTTTATGTTTATGCGTGAATTTATAGAGCAGTAAATATTATGGTAGAGTTTCGAGATTTACTGCTTTTTAAAATTTGCATACTTGCTGTACTTAGACCATTTTTTATGGCATTGTTTTTGGCTGAATGTTCTTCACCAGAGAATTATTTACTGTTGAGAAGATATTTTTGCATACTTTAAAAATATGATGCAGCGTGAGGATTAAGGAAATTATGTTTGCTTTGTCGTAATACTTTAATGGCGAGTTGAAGAAACTGTAAAGAACGAAAACAAAATTAGAAAATACATACATTTATACGTAGCAATAGTCAGTATGCAAACAAACATAATAGTTTTACATAAGTATCGCTCATTTACTTCCATACTATTTTTAAAAATTATATCATTTTAACTATTATGAATGAAAATTGATCGTTTTAAATTGAAAACCTTGAAGCCCTATAAAGCTGGTTTTCACTATGTCATATTTTGACGACAAAATATGACGACATATTTTGACGCAACTTTACCTCCTTTATCTCTTATTTTACCGACTAAATCATTAGCCAAAAACGGACAGATGGTCGATTTTATCTATTTATTTTAATCTAAGTCTCATTTGACAATGTGTTTTCACTTATTTGACGACAAATGCCATTGAATTTGACATAGTAAAAACCAGTCTTTAGATGGTTTACATATATAAAAAATTAGTTTAATTTTAAACAAAAATTTATACTGGCGTGGGCCGAAAATTCGTTTTTTTTAGAATTGGTATAGCTAATTGCAAAAATATGGTTCGTTATGCTCTAAAAAAATCTATGCGGAAGATGAAAATTTTTGATCAATACATAACTGCAATTCAATTTATAATTATAATATGCTAATATATAATATGCTTATTATATATTTAATTAAATTCCTCACAAAAAAGTAAATTTTTTGATAAAATCAAATTTCAAGTCTCGTTATGTAAACTTTTAATATATCGGAAGAAATTAGAAATCCACAGCTCATTTTAATATAAATAACTAATATGTTCTATAAATATATATGTACGTATGCACAGAATTAAATTTGCGATCGAAGTAAGCTAAGAAAAAAATTGTGGAGCACATTGAACTTTGATGGAGTTGGGCGACCATCTTTCGTGCAGATTTTGTTAGAACATAAATAACTAAGTATATTTTTTGGCAATAAAATTTCTAAAAATGGGATTTTCGGTCCACTCAGTGGCATAATTTTAAGACCGCCACATATAAACACAGGTATATATTTGGGGGGAGAAGGGGAGGGGGGATATTTATACTTCTAAAGATATATCACCAGAAATACTGAAAATTCGCTTCCGATAATATGCTCTTTAAAATACATTTATGCAAGTTTTATGCACAGTATATAATAAATAAATAAACTTTTCAAAGTTTCATAAATTGCACTTTATTTACATAAAATTAACAAAAAACTCAAACATTTTAAGAGACTTCAAAAACGTGAACCGATTTCAATAATTCTTTTTTTTTTTTAACGCAAATATGGTACCTCAAGGGTCGTCCCGTAATTTTGTTTAGATCCGATGATAGGATTATAAAAAAATTAACGGAACTCATAAATTTGTATATGAGAATTGAAGTAGGCTTTGCTTTTTGTTTAAAAATTACTTGTTTAATTAAAAGTTATATAAAGTTAAGATGCACTAAAATTTCAAAAGTAATAAAAAATGTTAAAAAAGAGTTTTAATGCTCATTTTCTCCGAGTTCTGGTATCTATGGATACGGTGACTTTTCACGATTGCCTCATTTTTTTAATATTTCGAATACCGAGAAAAAATTAACTGAATTTGTATTTTTGTTATGTATGTAGCTCATTTTGGTGGAACGAATTCTAAGTTGGAAAATTAAATCTTCGAATCCTGTCAAGTGTACAAACAACAGTAAGTAAATATGAATGCATCTTTTCATTCGCAGCAAAATTTTTAAGAGCTCCCAAGAAAAACGAAAAATTTATATAAATGGATGCACAGGAAATGGAAAAGAAATTTTCTTCTATCAATATTTCTTAAATCAGTTTGCAGATCTCAAGAAAAAAATGCTCGTATAATTGTCAAGCAACAGAAATAATACAAAATATTTCTTGTGAGCTTGATTCTAGATTCATTCTATAACAAACACCATACAAATCAACATTTCAAACTTTGTGCAAAAATTAGTTCAGTTCAGCGAATTTTCATCAACATTTTACACTTTTTTAAGAATTTAAGAAAAAGTTTTGCGTATGCAGTTTATAGCCCGTGCAATGCATGCTACAAAATAGCATTATTTTTTAGCAATGTTTTTTTGTTGATGCTGTTGTCGATTTTATTCCATATAAAAAAATTTTCGAACATACTTAATTAATTTTGTAATTTTTAAATATTTTTTTTAGTTTTTAGTTTAATCTTTTTTAATTTTTAAATTTTGTTTTATTAAAAAGATTTTTTTTTAATTTCATTTACTTTTTAGAAATTCATATTTTGCTTTTTTATATTTAGTTTTTTATTATTTTATTAATTTAATTTTCTTTTAACTTTCACATTTTATTATTCTAAAAAGAATAACATATTTTTTATTCATTTAATTTTTAGGATCTTATTTTATTTTATTTTTATTATTCTTATGTATTTTTTTAATAAAAATATTTTTAATGGGATTTTTAAGTAAATTTCTTATTTCCTGTTTTTTTTGCTAAAATTGTTTGCTTTTTATAATTAAATTTTCTTTTATTTATTAATTTTTATTTTTCTAAAACGAAAAATATACGCTCACTCCACCTTGTTTTTGTTTTTTAATATTCACAATGTTTTGCAAGATATAATTTTTTTGTTATTATTGTACAAAAATATGGTTCATACCTTGATACAAAAAAGAAGGTAGTTTCAATAAACAACTTTTGACGGATAATAAAATTTTTTGAAGTTTCATAAATTGTGAGTATTATCAACGGCCTTGCCACTTTGATAGTATTAAAACAATAAATCGGAGTATTTTCTTTCCCATATTTATACCAATGTAATAACATTTCAAATCAAAGACCATTAATGGTAATTATCAATGTTTGGTACTTTTTTTACTTACGTGGTTCGCACCTTTTTTTTATTAAAAATATTTAAAATGTAAACTGTTAAAGGAGACTTCATCGTAATTGTTCTTTTCATTTTGTAATAAAAACCACGCGCGCATTATTCTGTTAATTTTTTGTTTTCTTATTTTGAATGCAATCTTGCGATTCGGATCTAAAGGATGTTCTTCCCAAATAAAACCTTTTTATATTTCGGTTCAAATTTTCCTTTAAATTTCTCATAAGATTTTGCAAAAAATTAGGCTTTGTGATTAGCGCATCATTATTAAATTTCACAAATTCTTAATTTATGCAAAATACCTGAAGTCGGCTTGAAGAGATCGCCCTCCGATAAACAACTAACAGATCCTCGTTTAAAGTACAAAACCGTGTATCAACAAAATGCACAACTGCGTATGTGAGGTTGCATAAATTGTTTTGTAGAGAGTAAAAACACTCATATTTCAAAATGGTTCTCTTTTTTTACAAAGAAATCGCATTTCAGGACGAATGGATAAGGCTTGAGCCAAGAGCTTGTGGCTTTTTGGCAAAAAATGTCAATTACGCGGTTTTGCAGAACGACGATACGCGGTTTTGTACTTTAAGCGACGATATGTAAGCATACACTTTCTCCATGCTTTTTGAACCTATTCGTCAACCCCATTTTCGAAATCATGTAGCCGGCATAATTTTCTAGTTCATCATATTCCACATCGTTGAATGTACTGATAAAATCTTCTGGTTAAAAAAAAAATATTTCTTCTAGTGATCAGCTAGCATGAATTTGGTGAAATGTCATAATTTTATTAAAAGTCAAATGGTTAACAACAACAACGAATGTCATTAAATGAAACTACCTTCTTTTTTGTATCATGGTTCATACCACAAATAAAACCATATACATAAATCAAAGTTTCAAACTGTATACAAAATTAAAGAAAATTTAATGAATCCTTATCAAAATTTTACTCAGATTTTTTAAGAAAATTTCTGTTATCCAATTTTATAGCCCATTTATTTTAGTATATCCGAGTACAAATCTCAAGTGGCTAAGAAATCGCGTTGATTTTTAATAATTTTTTTGCTGACAGCTGTAGGCATTTTTCTCCATACATGGTGTGAGTGAATTTTTTTTTTTATATGAAAGAAAATACTAGAGCTGTCGGCAAAAAAAAATATTAAAAAATAAAAATAAATAAAAAATGTACCTATATGTTTTCTTTTTAATTTTATTTAATTTTTTAAAAACTGATTGCTAAAAGGCGACAGCATAACGCCAAGACCTCCTCATTAGCGAATCTTTAAATTAGTCTTTCGAAAGACAGTAAAGAGCTTTCCAGATGTTTGCCAGAATTGACAATTGCCTTACGAAAGTTGAAAGACATTTGCCAGAATTGCCTGGTGATGGGCAACGCCTTGCCCACGGGCAAAGCTCTTTTAGGCTTTCTATATATTTTGTATGGACGCTTGCAGAGTAAATGCTCTCTCTGCCCATCTCTGCTCGACGAAGACGAAAATTAAAAGGAAAATGTTTTCTATTCCCCGGAGACGATTTAGACCGGAAAAGGACAATATGCAAATTCAAAAATTATTTTCGTGATATTCCTGCAAACACGCAGTCCAAATGTCATTCTGGATTTTTTTTTAATTTTTCAATGTTCTTATTGCCATTTTCTTAAATGCGAGCGATTAAAAACTACTGGTTTTTGGGATTTTCATAACATAATAAAAAGTTCGGTGGCTCATTGGAAAAAATACACATAGTTTTTACAATACAAATTTTGTTGTTTATGATGTTTTATGTTTATGATGAGTAGATAAAGATTCTTAGCTCAAAATGGGTTTGGGCTTAGTAAAAAAAGTTACCCTACCAAAGATTAAGGATGATCGTGTATTTTATTCCTTCCCTAAGAGATTTTAATCTTTAGTCAGTCAATTAATTTTGATGGCAAAATTAGAATTCGAAGCGTAATAACATGGACAAAACTACTTTCAAACACCACATGTTGTGCATTCATGGCATTTTATATACATAAATACTATGTACTAAGAATTATTGGCTAAAGTTATAATTTATGTCCGCCGCAAGCAAACAGGCGCAAATGTCGGCTGCGGTCTTCACATAACAATGTAAGTTCTGCAAAAAAATTCGTGTAATCCGTGATGACTCCGAGAGCAA